GAGAACAGCCGCTCTCTGTTATGATCACATCTGTCACTAAAGACGCCGAAGGAGTGGTCACTACTCACGACGAGTCGCGCCATGGATTGGAGAACGGAGACAAAGTGACGTTCAATGAAGTGGAGGGTATGACTGAACTCAACAAATGCGAGCCCAGGACTGTGACAGTGTTGGGCCCCTACACCTTCTCCATCGGCGACACCACCGGCTTAAAGGACTACGTGAGAGGCGGTTATGCCATTCAAGTGAAGGTCCCCAAGACTGTCAACTTTGTAAGTATTTTCGTGTGTTTTTATGTGATTTTTAGTCAATTAATAACTTATGAAATGAATAGAAATCACTGAAGGAGTCGTTAGCGTCGCCGGAGTTTGTGTTATCAGACTTCGCCAAAATGGAAAGACCGACTCAACTGCACATCGCTTTCCAGGCGCTGCACCTGTTTGTGGAGCGCCACCGACGACACCCCAACTCGTGGAGCGAATCGGACGCCACGGAGTTCCGCAAAATTGTCGGCGAAATCGCGTCCGAAAACAAACTCGAGATTCAAATCGACGAAAACCTGGTGAAGATGTTCTCGTTCTTGAGTCGCGGAAATGTGTGTCCATTGAATGCCGTGATTGGAGGGACGGCCGCACAGGAGCTCATGAAAGCCTGTTCCGGAAAGTTTAATCCCATATATCAGTGGCTTTATTTCGATGCACTCGAATGCCTGCCTTTGGATCCCAATGAATACCCCAAAGAGGAGGAATGTCAGCCAACCGGCAGTCGATATGACTCTCAAATCGCCATTTTTGGGCAACAGTTTCAGGATAAGCTCGCAAATCAGAAATACTTTTTGGTGAGTAATGCGCTTTTTATCGAGTGTATGGCACAGTAGTTGTAATGACTTGTTTGCCACGAATAGGTGGGCGCCGGTGCTATAGGTTGTGAACTACTGAAGAACTTTGCGATGATTGGTTTGGCTGCGGGACACAACGGCTGCATATGGATTACAGACATGGATATCATAGAGCGCTCGAACCTGAACCGCCAGTTCCTGTTCCGTCCGGCGGACGTCGGCAAAGCCAAGTCAGTGACGGCTCAGAGTGCCGTCAAACGGATGAACCAATCGGTGAATATAGTGGCCCAACAGAACCGCGTCGGCGCCGAAACGGAGCAGCAATACGACGACGCCTTCTTCGAGCGCTTGGACGGCGTGGCCAACGCTCTCGACAACGTGGACGCCCGGGTCTATATGGACAGGCGGTGTGTCTTCTATAGGAAGCCGTTGCTAGAGTCGGGAACTCTAGGTATGAGTTGACTTTTGGTGTGCTTTTCGTGATTAGGGTTTGAGTTAATGATAATATTTTGATTGCAGGCACTAAAGGCAACGTTCAAGTGGTGCTCCCATTCCTCACAGAGTCGTACTCCTCATCGCACGATCCGCCGGAGAAATCCATTCCCATCTGTACTCTCAAGAACTTCCCCAACGCTATCGAACACACCCTTCAGTGGGCCAGAGATGACTTCGAGGGTATATTTACCATAAGCCCCGAAAACGCGAGACAATACTTGACGTGAGTTTTAAATAAGTTTTGTTGCGTTGATTGTGAAACTAATGTGTGTTTTGGTGTGAATAGAGACCCGAAATTCGTTGAACGGACGCTCAAAATGCCGGGCAATGAGTCGATTGTGACTCTGGATAGCGTGAAGAGAGTGTTGGTGGACGACAGGCCCCACGACTTCAACGACTGCATCAGTTGGGCCCGCGTTTACTTCGAGGAGCAATACGTGAACCAAATAAAGCAGTTGTTGTTTAACTTCGCGCCCGATTCCGTCACTAATAGCGATCGGCGCCGAAACGGAGCAGCAATACGACGACGCCTTCTTCGAGCGCTTGGACGGCGTGGCCAACGCTCTCGACAACGTGGACGCCCGGGTCTATATGGACAGGCGGTGTGTCTTCTATAGGAAGCCATTGCTAGAGTCGGGAACTCTAGGTATGAGTTGACTTTTGGTGTGCTTTTCGTGATTAGGGTTCGAGTTAATGATAATATTTTGATTGCAGGCACTAAAGGCAACGTTCAGGTAGTGCTCCCATTCCTCACAGAGTCGTACTCCTCATCGCACGATCCGCCGGAGAAATCCATTCCCATCTGTACTCTCAAGAACTTCCCCAATGCTATCGAACACACCCTTCAGTGGGCCAGAGATGACTTCGAGGGTATATTTACCATAAGCCCCGAAAACGCGAGACAATACTTGACGTGAGTTTGAAATAAGTTTTGTTGCGATTGTGAAACTAATGTGTGTTTCGGTGTGAATAGAGACCCGAAATTCGTTGAACGGACGCTGAAAATGCCGGGCAATGAGTCGATTGTGACTCTGGATAGCGTGAAGAGAGTGTTAGTGGACGACAGGCCCCACGACTTCAACGACTGCATCAGTTGGGCCCGCGTTTACTTCGAGGAGCAATACGTGAACCAAATAAAGCAGTTGTTGTTTAACTTCGCGCCCGATTCCGTCACTAATAGCGGCGTTCCCTTCTGGTCGGGACCCAAACGATGTCCACATCCACTCAAATACGATGCCAACAACGAGACACACCTCGACTACGTCTACGCGGCCGCTAATCTCAAGGCTTATGTCTATAATATCCCTCAGAATAGGGACCGAAACGCTGTTAAAGATTTTGTGTCAAAGATTACAGTCAAAGAGTTTACGCCGAAAAGCGGTATTTAGAGGATTACCTGTAGTTGTGGTGAATTGTATTGATTTGTTTGAATGGTGTTTAGGCGTCAAAATAGCGATCAATGACGCGGACCTGAGCGCCGATGGAGGCGGTGGTGTGAGTGATCTCGACCGCGGAGTTCAGCTCCAGAAAGAGATACCGGCGCCCAATGCACTCGGCGTTGACTTCGAGATAAAACCGGTCGACTTCGAGAAGGACGACGACTCCAACTTCCATATGGACTTCATAGTCGCCGCATCTAACCTGCGCGCAGACAACTACCACATCGAACCGGCCGACAGACATAAGAGTAAACTGATTGCCGGCCGAATCATACCGGCCATCGCCACCACCACTGCACTTGTCTCCGGTTTAGTGGGTCTCGAGTTATATAAGGTTTGTATGGAGTGGCAGCCATTGAGTGCACAATGAGTTGAATTTAATTTGAATGCCATAACAGATAGTGGCCGGACATAAGAAATTCGAGTCCTATAAGAATGGGTTCGTAAACCTGGCGCTGCCTTTCTTTGGCTTCTCAGAGCCGATGCCGGCGCCTAAAAACAAGTATTACGACCACGAGTGGACTATTTGGGACCGCTTTGAGGTTCAGGGAGAGCTGACACTCAGAGAATTCATTAAATACTTTGCGGTTTGTATTGATTGTGATTAATGTGTTGAACATGTTATTGATTTGATTGGATGTGTTTTGGTGATGATTAGGACGAACACAAACTGGAGATAACGATGTTATCGCAGAACGTGTCGATGTTGTACTCATTCTTCATGGCTAAGGAGAAACGCGAAGAACGAATGGATCTCAAGTATGCCATCACTTGTCTGTCGTGTCTACGAATTTGGTGTTAATTAGTGTTTTTGTTTGCTTTTTCCGCACAGAATGTCGGAAATAGTGAGACGGGTGTCGAAGAATAAGATCGAGCCGTGGGTTAAGTCTTTAGTTTTTGAATTGTGTTGTAATGACGTGAATGGCGAGGACGTGGAGGTGCCGTACGTGCGCTACACTCTACCCGATTAGATAATCTCTGTCTTTAAATTAAAAGCAAATTATTTTCAAATTCTATTTATATTTCGATTGAAATGTAACTATAAATCGATAAAACTATAAAAATGCGATCCTTTCTCTCCATTTATTATTAAAACAAATGAACAATAATTGAAATAATTTTTCTAAAAGTTTGACCGCTTTTTGATAATCACATCCCTTTCCTCTCAATTCGGTGTTTTAATCGAAAATTATATGATAAATGATTTTATAGTCAATAATCTGCAAAACAAATACAACTGATTATCCGGTTTTTCACTTTCCTTTTTATTTATAATTTAAAATTGACTTTTAGGTGATATTTATTATTCAAAAT